TCACGAGCAGACCCAACACCCCCAGGCTCCGCACCCCTAGGCTCGGCACCCCCAGGCTCAGCACCCCCAGACTCAGCACCCCCAGCCTCAGCACCCCCAGACTCAGCACCCCCAGGCTCAGTACCCCCAGGCTCCGCACCCCTGGAATCAGCACCCCCAGGCTCTGCACCCTCAGACCCGGCACCCGCAGGCTTAGCACCTCTAGTAGCACCAGAGTCAACAGCTACCTCGACAGGCTCGACTGCGTCTACCTGGGACACACCTGACGGGGGAGGACCCTGAGGGGGGAGGGGGTCTACCGGGGGAGGACCTGGCGCAAGGAAGAGCGGCGGCGGGGGGAGGGGCGCAGTGCGGTAGGGGAAGAGACGGTAGTAAGGCACCGACGCATAGAGAGGGGGGAGGCGACGGGGCCGCTAGGGGCGGCTACGGGGCCGCGTAGGGGCGGCAACGAGGCCGCTATGGGTGGCGACGGGGCCGCGTAGGGGCGGCGGCGGGGCCGCGTAGGGGTGGAGCGGCGACGGGGCTGCTAGGGGCGGCGTCGGGGCCGCGTAGGGGCGGGACGGGGCCGCGTAGGGAGGGAGGCGGCGACGGGGCCGCTAGGGGCGGCGATGAGGCCGCGTAGGGGCGGCGACGGGGCCGCTAGGGGCGGCGACAGGGCCGCGTAGGGGCGGCGACGGGGCCGCGTAGGGAGGGAGGCAGCGACGGGGCCGCGTAGGGGCGGCAACGGGGCCGCTAGGGGCGGCGACGGGGCCGCGTAGGGGCAGCAACGGGGCCGTGTAAGGAGAGAGGCGGCGACGGGGCCGCTAGGGGCGATGACGGGGCCGCTAGGGGCGGCGACGAGGCCGCGTAGTGGCGGTGACGGAGCCGCTTGGGGCCGCGAGGGGCCTGGAAGGGCGGCGACGGGGCCGCTAGGGGCGGCGACGGGGCCGCTAAGGGTGGCGCGAGGGGCCGTGAGAGGGGCCTCGAGGAGAGCTCGACAGAAGGGCGGCCCACAAGGCGCGCCTCGTGCATGAGCGACTGGCGCTCCGGTCAGAAAAAAAAGTTTCAGTGGTGGGCCCAAGGAAGCGTTCCCACTAGGGAACCTGCTCATTACCATGTGAAGAAATGAGGAATGGATGAACTAGCACAAAGTTTGGTACAAGTAGGAAACCTTAGGAAACTGTACCCCATAGTGTCTACCCCACTATAGCCTAGACAAGCTTTATGATATGAGTTTGACAGATGTCACTCCGGAGAAGCTAGAGGCGGCCAGGCAGGCAGCGCCGGCACTGTTTATCAAGCTGGACCACTATAACGCTCTGATGGAGCTGCTGGGAGGGCGGCGATTCGAGCACTACGAAGTGCAGGGATCGGGAACGGAGACCAAGGTGTATTCTAAGGTGACTCAAGCTTACCCGTGCGTTTTTCACCAGTCAGGGAATGCGAAGAGTGAATCTACAACAGTAGTGAGCTAGACTACGAGGTTGGCACGAACTACTAAGAGTGATCGTAGCTTTTCTTGGTTCCTTAGTGCTTGCACATTCACGAGAGAAATCGGCAAGAGTTTCCACTAGCAAAGTTGGAATTACAGAATGATTGAACAAGCAATGACAAAATGACTATATCAGGCACCTAGCAACCCTGCAGCTAGCCTGGTTGACCGCCAGCACAGCTCGGTCGACCGCCTGCCAGCATTGCGTAGAGGAGCCGCGCCAGCACTGCTGAAGGGCGACCTGCCAACAGAGCAGGTCGACGGCGTGCCAACGCTGCAGCAGAGCGGCTGTCCAGCGTTGCCCCGTAGAACACAGCGGTGCGCACGCTCGCAGGTCTGCGCAAACGATTGGCCCGACTTGCTTTGTTGGGCATCCGTTGGCTGATATCTGCGCCTGACGAGCCACATTGACTCTGGGATACCAGCCCGCAGTCGCCTGCGCCATCGCAACCTCGACGACGTTCGCGTGCCTCCGCCGAACTCGTCTAGCAGGTAACCCGGTCGACCCGGTCGACCACCAGGTGCTTCCGGTCGACCACCCCTGCTTCTGGTCGACCACCAGGTCCCTCTGGTCGACCACAACTCCCGTCGAGCTACCCCCTGGTCGACGGACCCCTTCCGACTGCTCCGGTGACCTCCCGGTCGAACTGTAGGTCGACGGGATGCTCCGGAGACCTCCCGGTCGAGCGGCAGGTCGACGGGATGCTCCGGAGACCTCCCGGTCGAACCGCAGGTCGACGAGATGCTCCGGAGACCTCCCGGTTGAGCTGCAGGTCCTGGTCGACGTCCCACCCGTCGCCCGGACCAGTCAGTTACAGCTGTCGAGCTCCCTAGTCGACAGCAACACCACAGCGGTTCCCTGCAGCTCGTCGAAGCCTGTCGAGCAGCTCTCCCACTGTGAATGGTCGGCTGCTACTCCCGTACATCCGACCAAGTCGTCGGCGTTGCCCAAGCGAGGGCGGGGCCAACACCCCATTCTTGTTAACACTCCCGTGCCGCGCTCACGCTTGGGCCTCCAGCCCACACGTCAGTATTCCACGGAGAAAACTCGTCCTCGGCGTGCACCCCACACACAGCACGCCGTCACCGCACCAGCCGTGCTGAAGGGCATGACACCTACTGCTGCACCTCGTCGTCGTCGTTGTCGACGTCGGCCAGACGAACTTAGCCGATAGCGACAGAGCACCGGTTGAAAGCCGGAAAATGCAGCGCCTTCGTCAGAAAGTCTGCCGGCTGCTCCGTGGTCGGGATGTACTTCTGCACGAATTTCCCGCGCCTCACCATGTGTTGCAGCCAGGCGTAGCGTCACTCCATGTGCTTGAGGTTGCCCGTCAGCCCCAGGCCCTCAGCGACCGTGATTGCCGACTTGTTGTCGACGCGGAGGATGATCGGCTTCCAAGCGTCGAGCAGCTTGAATTCCACAAGGAGGAAGCGAAGTCGACGCCCCTCCTTGCCGGCATCCGTGGCCGCCACGTACTATGACTCGGTCGACAACAATGTCGCGCACTTGATGCGCGAGCTCGACCAGGAGATGGCGGCCCCTCCGTAGACAAACACGTAGCCTCCCGTGCTCGTCCGGTTCTGCTTGTCGCGCGTCGTCGGCATCGACGTAGCCGATGAGCTCCAACGATTCTGGTCCACGGCCGAACTCTAGGGCGGTGTCGCGGGTGTCGGCGAGGTAGGCGAGGCAGCGGTCGACCTCGCGCCAATGCTGGTCGCTCCTCACCATGAGGCCGCTCCCCAGCTTGCTGCAGGCAAACGCGATGTCCGGCCTTGTCGTCGTCGCCGCGAACTGCAGCGAGCCGACCTTTTGCCGGTACTCCTCCTCTTTGCGCTCCTGAGCCTCCTCGTCGTCGAACGTCAGCTGAGCGTATGCGTCGACCGAGACCGGCGTCTTTGGAACTCGACCGCCCTGCTCCTCGTCGATGAAGCGCATGCGCAGCTTGTCGGCGTAGCCCTGCTGGTGCAGCCACAGCTTCTTGGCCGGCCTGTCGCGCATGATCTCCAGCCCAAGGTACTTCACCACCGGCGAGATCTCACGCAGCTCGAAGGCGGCCTCCAGCAGCTCCTTCAGTTCCTTCAGCATCGCGGTGCTGCTGCTGGCGGCGAGCAGGTCGTCGACGTAGACCAGCACCCAGCAGGTCACTCCGTCGTCGCCGGTCTTGAAGTAGAGAGCCTCGTCAACCTGACTCTTCTTCAAGCCAGCGCCCAACAGCACTCCGTCGAGAGCCCTGTACCACAGTAGCGGCGACTGCTTCAGCCCGTCAAGGCTCTTCAGCAGCTTACACACCCGGCCGGTCCCATCGTCGAAGTAGTCCGGCTGGTACATGTAGAGCACCCTGTCAAGCTTGCTCTGCAGGAAAGCGTTCTTCATGTCGAGCTGCATCAAGTTGAGGTCGAGAACGGCGACGATGCTGAGGAAGATCCTCAGCGTGATGTAGCTGCTCACCGGCGAGTACGTCTCATTGTAGTCGGCACCGTACACCTGCGTAAAGCCCTTCACGACCAGCCTCGCCTTCTCGCGCTCGACGGTATCGTTGATGCGGTACTTGGTCTTCAGCACCCACCGGTTCTTCATAATGTTCACCTTGCGTGGGCGTTCGACCAGCTCCCAAGTCCCCATACCGATGAGGCTGCGGATCTCTTCTTCCATGGCGGCCTTCACCGCCTCGCCCTTCCAGCTCGACAGCGCCTCCTTCACCGTCATCGTGGCGATGTCCCAGCGGTGTTCGGGGTCGGCATGCACGTCAGGGTCGAGCTCCGGCAGGTCTTCATCCTCCTCGGCGTCGTCGTACAACAGGTCGTCATCGACCTCGTCGAACACCATGGTGAAGGCAGCTGGCGGTAGGCAGGCGTGGAAGCTCAGGCGCTCCGGTGGCCGTCGAGCTCGACCTCTGCGTCGCAGCTCAGGCTTCGTGATCGGCACTTCCACCACGTCGCTGTCAGTGGACTCCTCCCCTGCCGACTGCTCCCCTTCCTCGTCGACGTCCTCGTCGTCGACCAGCGGCTTTGACCCGTTGACCGGCTGCTTGCCTGCTGCTGATTTTGACAGCTCCCTTGTCGGCTGCACCGCTGCTGTTCCCTCTTGTTCGATCGGCTCCCCTATCTGGTGCTCCCCTGTCGTTGACAGCTCCCCTATCGGAAGTGTCACACAGTTGCGGTTGTTGAGCTCGACTGTGTCCAGGGAAGGCGAGTTCTTGCCCTTCCAGTGAGCCACGGGCCACTCCACCTGGAAGAAAGCACAAGGTATTGTTAAACACTGTTCATTACAGGATGCTTTTAAGCACAAAGTTGCAGCATATATATACGAAAAACACTTACCACATGGCAAAGATAGCCTAGGCCAGGGATCTTCAGGGGGAAAGTTGTGGCTTGGTTGCTGCAGAAACCCTTCGTGACAGCCAGCACAAATGCCAGGTTAGCAAACGGTATGCCTTCAGCAGAGCAATGCCATCGTGAGCCGTATTTTCCTGCAAGGAAGTTGAAAAACCAATCGTCAGTGACTGCAGCTACAAAAGTTTAGAGGAGCTTAACAAACACTCAAAGACTCACCGTCCTTGAAGTAAGCCGTCCAGACGTCTGGATCTCTAAACTCGGTCGGCCTCAGGCCGACCCGCTCCAGCTCGTGCCACCTTTCCTTCGCCACGCCACCTCCAGCGCCGCAGCCATAAAGCTTCATAGTCTTGTTCATAGTTTGCCGCTTGTTGGCAATCTTATCCATTGCCTCGTCCTCCTTCAGCTTGTCACCTCCTGCCACGAAGTAATACAGGTCCTTGCAAACACCCAGCCGCACATACCTCCGCACCATCAAAGGAACCAGGTCTGGCCAATCGGGGTAGAACTGCATCGACTTTGCCGGCCCAGCAGTAATCATCCCGACGTACACGGCGAGCGCGTTTTTCTGTTTCAGGGAACGGGAGACAAAAAACAGATGAAACAGACGTCAGGCCAGGGTTAGGTGTGACGGTTAGTATCGGGGTAGAACTGTAAACCACTCTTAAAAGCAAAGCACTCACCGCGAACGCCTCGTCGTCGGACAAGCTGGTGGGAATGTGGATTTTCCCGTCCACCTTCGGCAGCCTGTCCATGTTGATTCGGGGGTCGTCCACGTCATCAGGTCCATCTATTGCGTGCGTTCCGGATCGAAACGCCTGAATCTCATCCCGAAGCGCCGAAACCTCTTAACGCAGCTCATCCCTCTCCTTTTCGATCTGCTGCTGGGTCGTTTGATTGTACTGCATCACCGCCAAGGTGTTGCGCAGGTCCTCCAGCTCGGCTTCAAGTCGTCGGTTGATGGCGGCATGATGCGCATCGGGAACTGCAACGAGAAAATTTGAGCATCGTTGGAAGAAAGGTTTATGCGCCGGGTGTGCAAAGACAGCATCATCACTAACAAATACATTGGAACCAGCTGAGTGCGAGTAGGAGAGAAACAAGCAAGGTGAAAATTACGACCAATGTGCTTACGAGCTGAACGGGCTCCTCTGATTGGAACCTGGTTTTCACACGGCGCAGCCCCGTTACCAACTGCTGCTCCAGCGTGCGCAGCGGGGAGAACTGGCTCGAAATGTGGCTGCTGTTGATTCTCATCGCCTGCGGCATCTTCACCGTCCTCTTGTTCCTCGCCTTCGTGGTCGTCATCTTCCTCGCTTTCCGCATGGCCCTCCTCGCCGCCTGCCTCAACGCCTCCATCGTCGCCTTCCTCCACTTGCGAGTGATGGAAACCACCGCGCAAAGCTTCCGAGTCTGCAGGAAAAGTTACGAGTTGACCATGCAGGCCAGCTATGGTTACGGTGCCAGGTGCATCAGCGGCTTCCGCCTCAGTCATCGGCTCGGGTTCAGCGGCGGTGCCATGGGGCGAGGTCCTAAGAGGTTCGTTTGCGGTTTGCCTTTGTAACTTCTTCAGTGAACCCGTCTTCCGCTTCCTCCCAGTCTGTTTCCTAGCTGCTTTATGTCAGAATATTATCTTATTGTTCTAGCCTGTAGTGGGGTGCTCTATAGCGAGTACAACCCTTCTAGGGTTTGCTATTTGTATCCTCATTCTTGCTAGTTCAATCCTCTTTCTTTCTCCTAATTTTGACACTTTACGCTTGAGCAAGCGCAACAGCAGGGCCTCCTCTGCATCCTCTGTGAGGTCTGGCTCACCCGAGTTCGAGAATGGGGAAGGCAGAGTGACCCCTCCAGTCTGGTTTGGACCTCCAGGTCCAACCACTCTCTTTCCTCCTAAAGCAGCTGCCCGACCTACGGCAGTACCGCGTTGCTCCATGTGGAATTCCGCCACTTTTGGGCGGTAAGCGCCCGTGAATACCCTTTTATCGTGGGAGGGAAAGCAGATCGTGAATATATTGAACGCGCTCAGTGACTTAAGCAGGGTGCCCGAAAAAAAACGACTTGACCATTTTCGGGGCGGGCTCCGTGGATTCGAGTGACCAGGTAAAGTTCATGTGTGTGCCAACGCAGCCAGTCACTCTGCGCACACTCGTTCATGAACCCGAAAGTGCGCGCACAGATGGCCACTCGTTCAACCCGAAAAAGAAATAAACCAAGTGCGCGCAGCGCGGTCTCGTTGGTGCCAACGCAGCCAGTCGTCAGTTTGCAAACACCATTCACCTGGGACAACAGTTGTTGGCAAACAACTCTGATTGGTCCTTTTTGAGAGCACATGTAATATATCTGTGGCAACGTGGCACAAGGGATGCACAAACGTGACGCGGCGTCGGCCTAAACAGAGCTGTGCTGGCAATAAGCGGCACGATACACGTGATGGGCGATTAGACGCTCTAAAGAATGGAAAATCCTGTGCTGGATCAGAATTTCTGCAGTTCTCAATTTCTTTAAAAATGTTACAATTGCATTTTTTAGAACCAGCAAGGGTAGCAAAATACATGCAAATTAATTAAGACGAAGCAAAGGACTTTAGCAAACATACATACAGCAAGACTGCATGTTAACTGTAAATCGGTGCAGCAAGCACCCCTATTGACGAAGTCCCCAATGTTAATTGGTATAGTGTGAGAGCAATGCCCTACTTCATTATCTTCATGGGTTGATGAGTCGAAACTTACGGTATTCAGGCAGAACATTTCTCGATGATATTTGGTTTGGGAATATCTGACGACTACGGTGCCAAAGACGGTGAACGCAGCTCCACGTGGAATGCGGCACGAACGTGCCAGACATCTGCAAATAGCAATAACAATGGCGTTGACTGTTGGCGTGGGCTGTCACAGTTTCATCGTCTAGCTGCTTCTCTAGCACCATTGAGTGAAATCACATTCGGAAAGTTTTTCTGTTACATTGCCGCAGCAACTGGTTTGAGCTGATCCACACAACAACGCAACGCGTGACGCTTGGTAGTGCGGTCGCTGGCCAGAAACCATGCAATGATTGGCCAGTACAAAGGAGGACATCGTTTCATGATCTAGGAGATTATATTAGCACCAAATCTTCACACATTCATGCATTTCAAACATTTACATTGTCACAGAAACTCGAGTGACGCTCATCCGCACAGCTAGGCAGCAAGTGACGCTTCTTTGAGCGTTCGATGGCTAGAACTTGTGCATGGATAGGTCAGGGCGCAACATGTCACGATTTCATTGGGTATCTGCTTGTTTTTTTACTCACACTCTTGCACTCACCCATTCTATTCAAGAAATAACCTTGTCTTAGGAACTCGTCCGAGGTCATTTGCACAAATACGCAACAAATGACGCTCCTGTGTGCGTCTGACGACTGAAACAGTTCGAGGATAGGCCAGGGCGCAACATGTGACCGCTTCATTGTCTCGCGGATTTTTCTAGCAACAATTCTACAAGAAAATAGGTACTGAATACAAGTACCTTGCCTTAGGAACTCGATTTGAGTTTAGTCTCAAAAGTACGCGACACGCGACGCTTCATTGTGCGTTCGATGGTCTGAACCTGGGCGAGGATAGGTCGGGGCGTTATGTGTCACCGTTCCATCATCTATATGTTTTTTTAGCACCATTCAAAACTCGTGTAGGTACTCCAGCTAGTTAGCTTACCAAAGGAACTCGTTTGAGATCTGTCGCACGAGTACGCAGCCCGTGAGCCTTCATTGTGCGTTTGATGGTCTGACCATGTGCGATGATAGGCCAGGGCGCAACATCTCACCGTACCAACGTCTTGCTGTTTCACATAGCAACAATTACACACTCATTCAGGTACTCTAGTCAATTACCTTGCTGTACGTGTTAGAATAGTAGGAGGTGGGGCCTAGGCTTAGTAGCCTAGGCCCACACTAGGAGGTAGGCAAGGTGCTTTAGAACTAGGACTTAGGGTTTGGGAAGGAGAATTGGAAGGAAGGAATGATGGACTAGCAAGCAGCAGGACACACAAATAGAAAACCCTAAGGGGTTGTACTCAGTATTGAGCACCCCACTGCAGGCTAGACAAATAACATTCTGACAGTACGAACTTGTTTGAGTTCATTCGCACAAGTACGCAGCACGTGGCGCTTCTTTGTGCGCTCGATGGCCTGAAACTTTGCTAGGGCATGCCAGGCCGCACCATGCCACTGTTTTATCGTCTCGCGAATATCCCAAGCACCAATTCTACACTCATTTAGGACATGTAGTCAATTACATTGCCATAGGACTACCGTTTGAGATCTTTCAAGCAAGTACGCAACACGTGACGCGTCAATCTGCGTTTGAAGGTCTGAACCTGGCGACGATAGGTCAGGGCGCTACATGTCACCGTTTAGTCGTCTTGCTTGTTTCACCTCCACCAATTCTACACTCATCAAGTACTGTATTCATTTACCTTGTCATTGGATCTCGTCTGAGTTCATTCGCACAACAACGCATCAAGTGACTCGCCTTTGAGCGCTTGACGTCATGAAAAAATGATATGATATGCCAGGGCACAACATGTTACCGCTTCAACGTCTCGCGTTTATGTTAGCAACGATTGTACACTCATGCAAGTACCCTAGCCTATTACCATGCTCTAGGAACTCGTTCGAGTTCCGTCGCACACGTACGCAGCACGTGACACTTCTTTGTGCGTCCGATGGCCTGAACATGTGCGAGGATATGTCAGGGCGCAACATGTTACTGTTCAGTCATCTCGCTGTTTTTTCCAGCACCAATTTTCACTCATTCAGAAACTGTAGTTATTTACCTTGCGTTAGGAACTCGTTTGAGGTCATTCGCACAACTACGCATCAAGCGACACGCCTTTGTGCGCTTGACGGCCTGGAACAGTGCGAGGATAGGCCAGGGCACAAGATGTCACCGCTTCAACGTCTCGCGTTTTTTTTTTTGCACCGATTCTACACTCATCCAGGTATTGTAGCCTACTACCATGCTATAGGAACTCGTTCGAGTTCCTTCGCACACGTACGCATCACGCGATACGTGTTTTTGCGTCTGATGGCCTGAACATGTGCGATGGATAGGTCAGGGCGCAACATGTTACTGTTTAGTCGTCTCTCTGTCTTTCCCACCACCAATTCTTTACTCATTCAAGCATTGTAGTCATTTGCCTTGTCACAGGAACTCGTCTGAGGTCATTCGCACAACTATGCCTCATGTGACACGCCTTTGTGCGTCTGACGGCCTATAACAGTTAGAGGATAGGCCAGGGCACAACTTGTCACCGCTTCATCGTCTCGCGTTTTTGTCTAACGCCTAATCTACACTTATTCAGTTATTCTAGCCTTGTACCATGCCCTATGAACTCGTTTGTGTTGATTCCCAACATCTACGCAGCACGTGACGCTTCTTTGTGCGTCTGATGGCCTAAACGTGTGCGAGGATTGGTCAGGGCACAACATGATTTTGTTTAATCGTCTAGTTGTAACGAAGAACCACCAATTCAACACTCATTCACCTACGGTAATCATTTACCATCACAAAGGAACGCGTCTGAGATCAATCACACAACAACGCATCAAGTGACACGCCTTTGTGCGCTTGATGGCCTGAAACAGTGCGAGGGTAGGCCACGGCACAACTAGTCACCGCTTCAACGTCTCGCGTTTTTTTTAGCACCGATTCTACACTCAGCCAACAATTGTAGCCTGGTACAATGCCCTATGAACTCGGTTAGTTCCTTCGCAGTCGTGGGCAGCACGTCACACTTCTTTGTGCGCCCGATGGCCTGAACATGTGCGAGGTTAGGTCGGGGCGCCCCATATAACCGTTTCATCGTCTGGCTGCTTTCTCCGCCACCAATTCTACACTCATTCTGGTTTAGGAGTCATTTACATTGTCAACGGTACTCGTCTAGGGTCATTCGCACAAGTACGCGTCAGGTGACACGCGTTTGTGCGCTTAACGGCCTGAACATGTTTGAGGAAAGTTCAAGGCGCAACATGTCAATGCTTAGTCGTGTCGCTGTTTTCTCCACCACCAATTCTACACTCATTCAGGTATTGTAGTCATTTACCTTGTCATAGGAACTCGTCTGAGATCATTCGCAGAACTGCGCATCAAGCGACACGCCTTTGTGCGCTTGACGGCCTGAAACAATGCGATGATAGGCCAGGGCACAACATGTCACCGCTTCATCGTCTCGCATTTTGCGGGGCGCCGAGTGTACACTCATCCAGGTATGGCAGCCTATTACCATGCACAAGGAACTCGTTTGAGTTCATTCGCACACTTACACAGCACTTGACGCTTCTTTGTGCGTCTGATGGCCTGAACATATGCGTGGAAAGGTCAGGGTGCCCCATGTTTCCGTGTCATCGTCTGGATGTTCTTTAAAGCACCATTTCTTCATGCACACAGGTAATCCTATCACATAACGTGTCATAGGAACTCTTCTGAGGTCATAAAAAACGACTACGCATTAAGTGACGCTCCTTTGTGCGTCTGATGGCCTGAAACTGTGCGAGGACAGGCCAGGGCGCAACATGTCACCAAATCTACACTCATCCCTGTACTGTAGTTAATTACCTTGCCATAGGAACTCGTTTGAGATAATTCGTACCATACCGCAACAAGTGACGCTTCTTTGTGCATGATAGTGCCAGAAACCTGTGCAGGGATAGGAGAATAGGCGACAATGCACCGTTTCATCGTTTGTCCGTAATTATACACACGCACCCAGCATTTCACACTCATTTAGCCTGGATTGGGCAACCGCGGAGTTCCGGCTATGGCAGATGTGTATTTGGCCTGTGTGTCAAGGAGAAGAATATTGTACGGGATAAATACATTGGTTTATGTATCAAATATCAAATAGCCACTGGTTGCATTTTTGGTGACCAATTTGCATTTGTGGTTATTCTCGATAAAGCAATCTGCTCAGATCTGGAGTCGCGATGTTGTTTGTTCCCGCCAGAACCCGTTTCTCTTTCGAAATCAGTTCAACACCTCATCTCGAAGCCACCCATGGATCTGCTCTGTGTCGGTTGAAGTCTGTTCCTTACCTCAGCTGCCTAGCTCTTCGAATCCCATCGTGTATCTCCTCTGTGTCCTTTGGTTATCATTCGCTCTCTCACCACTTAACGCTCCTGAGCTCTGCGGACACGCGTTTCGCATCGATCCCGGACTGCCGCCATAATCTGGAGGCGCTTATCGCGCCGCGTCGGCTTGCTTCGTTTTCGCGCTGTGGTACCCCCCTAGCCGACCGCCTCACCATTGCGCGGGTGAGCGGTGCAACGCCGCGCTCGCCCTCCCGATCCACCGCCTTCGAAAATCAGGTGCGACGCTTGTTTTAAGAGACGTAGCGTCGGCACCTCGAGTAATGAGGTGCCCTCATGGCTTTACTGGCGCTACAAGCGTTGCGATTAGAAACTGTGCATCAGAGCTTGCGAAACCGCTGCATATGTTTCATACGCCCGCACAGGGGTACCCAGGTGCGTTGCTTGGTTTACGGACATCCTACCGTTCTAAAAGATACGGGTAAGTTGAGGCGCTTTCCTACACACAAGGGGAATGTGAATGCGGTAGACGCCAAGAAGGTCCGGCAGATGAAACCGGAGGGTGCCTTTTCAGCTGCATCCCGTTTCTCGCTCTCGCCGCGCCGCGGATTCGCCGTTAGCCATTTGTGCAACCACTGTTCGCTCTATGTAGGAGCACTCCCTTGCTCTCTGTTCTCTCTCTTCCCTGTTTCGCAATACGCTATTTCCCGTGCACACAATCGGATCTCTCCCGTGCTCGCAGTCTGCTCTCTCTCGTGCTCCCGATCCGCTCTCTCCCGGCCTTGCAATGCGCTTTCTCCCGTGTTCTCGATAGAATCTCTCCCGTGCTCTCGAACCGCTTTCTCCCGTGCGCGCAATCCGCGCTCTCCCTTGCTCTCGATCCGCTCTCTCACGTGCTAGCAATCCTCTCTCCCGTGCTCTCGGATTTATCCCTCCCGTGCTCGCAATCTGATCTCTCTCGTGGCATGGCAGTACGCTCCCTCCCATGCTCTCAGTCCGATATCTCCCATGCTTGCAATCCGCTCTTTCCCCTCCCTGCAATACGTTCTCTCCCGTGCTTGCAATACGCTCCCTAGAATAGCGAAGACGGTCCAGCAGTGAGCAGGTTGCCTTTTCAGCTGCACCCCGCTGCTCGCTTTCGCCGCGCCGCGGATTCGCCGTTCGCCATTTGTGCAACCACTGTTCGCTCTCTGTAAGAGCACTCCCTTGCTCTCGGTTCTCTCTGTTCCGGCCTTGCAATGCGCTTTCTCCCGTGTTCTCGATACAATCTCTCCCGTGCTCTCGAACCGCTTTCTCCCGTGCGCGCAATCCGCGCCCTCCCTTGCTCTCGATCCGCTCTCTCACGTGCTAGCAATCCTCTCTCCCGTGCTCTCGGATTTATCCCTCCCGTGCTCGCAATCTGATCTCTCTCGTGGCATGGCAGTACGCTCCCTCCCATGCTCTCAGTCCGATATCTCCCGTGCCTGCAATCCGCTCTTTCCCCTCTCTGCAATACGTTCTCTCCCGTGCTTGCAATACGCTCCCTAGAACAGCGAAGACGGTCCAGCAGTGAGCAGGTTGCCTTTTCAGCTGCACCCCGCTGCTCGCTCTCGCCGCGTCGCGGATTCGCCGTTCGCCATTTGTGCAACCACTGTTCGCTCCCTGTAAGAGCACTCCCTTGCTCTCGGTTCTCTCTGTTCCGGCCTTGCAATGCGCTTTCTCCCGTGTTCTCGATGCAATCTCTCCCGTGCTCTCGAACCGCTTTCTCCCGTGCGCGCAATCCGCGCTCTCCCTTGCTCTCGATCCGCTCTCTCACGTGCTAGCAATCCTCTCTCCCGTGCTCTCGGATTTATCCCTCCCGTGCTCGCAATCTGATCTCTCTCGTGGCATGGCAGTACGCTCCCTCCCATGCTCTTAGTCCGATCACTCTATGTGTATCTTCCCCAGCAGGATTCCGTCGTCACACGGCAGGCCAGCTAAGAAGACTTCGCAAGTTGTAAGGCATCTACCATGGACCGACACCTTACACACAAAATCAATGTTGTATATGTTCCACGCAATGGCCGACACCACGCGTTTTTCATGTTCGTGGCGGATGATCCAATTCGAAGCCGGCCTGCAGCAACCTGTACCGCCCGTGCATCCAACTATAATGGGTGGTGGCAAGATGCGTTGAATCCGGACCCATTGCACACTCAAGAGTTGGGCGTGTTTGATGATGTACTTGATGGTTTCAAGGAGTTGTTTGACCAGTGAATGAACTCGTTGTCTTCTTGTATGCATGACTGGTACTGTCAAAGTTGCATAAGATGCGTTATTTGTACATTTGCCCACTCCAATCCTTAGACACACCATCTTATCCTTAGCTGTGTATCATCTCTAATCTTTTGTGTGTCACCTCCTCACATTTTCCGTCCTCTCCTCTGCTCTACCCCTTCCTCTCCTTATCTGGCCCTTACTCTCCTTCTCTGCCCCCTCCTCTCTTTCTCTAACCCATCCTCTCCTTCTCTGCCCCTTCCTCTCATTCTCTCCCCCTTCCGCTCCTCCTGATCCTTCCTCTCCTTCTCTGTCCCTTCCCCTACTTCTACGCCCCACACTCTCATTCTCTGCCCCATCCTCTCCTGCTCTGCTCCTCCCTCTCCTGCTCTGCCCCGTCATCACGTTATCTCTCCCTTTTACAGCTTCTCTGCCCCATCCACTCTCCTCTGTCCCGTCATCTCCTTCTCCTACCCTTCTTCTGCTCCTCTGTCCCTTTCTCTCCTTCCCTACCCCTTCCTCTCATTCGCTGCCCCTTCCGCTCCTACTCTGCCCCCTACACTCCTTCTCCTCCCCCTCCTCTTCTCCTCTGTCCCCCCCGCCCATACTCGCACACTTATTTCCTTTACTCGTCCTCTTGGTTCCTATTATGTTTTTCAACGCACCCATCATGCAGTGGCGCAAATGGTTACCTGTCAAATATGCGGAAGGGAATGCAAGACACGGCAAGCACTGCTGGGTCACATGACCAACCCGGTTTGCGAGGCAACTGCCGCAGCTCGCAGTGCCATACGACGGTCCCCCGAAGCGCGTGGGTCCAAGCGTGCACGCCCTACATCCGTTCCATCATTGTCTTTGGGTGGTGGTGCTAGCGATGGCACCGGCATGCATGGTAGCGGACAAGAAGGCCCATCTGGTGGTTTAGGCCCTATGGACAACCATGAAGAGCATGACGGAGTAGCTGTGGGAAGCATGGTCCCACCCGGATTTGATACTGATGAGGCTAGTGATAGTAGCAGTCACAGCAGTGAAAATGATAGCTTACCATGTGATGATGATAACTTTGGGATAGTGGCCGAGGAGGGGAGGCAAGAGGGCGACGTTCACAGTTCATTTGAAGCTCCTCGTAGGAACAATCTGGACGCTTGGGCACATTTTTTGCTTACCTGCCGCTTGTCCAATAGCCAGATCAATGCCCTATTTGATCTCATGCATGACGAGGACTTGGACATCCGCGACGTCCTCCGATGGAAGAATGTGAAGGATGTACATGCCTATGCAGAGTCCAAAAGACCGGATTCGCACCGTGGGTGGCAACGGCGGTTGGTTCGGTCCCAAGACAAGGCATGGCTGGAGTATTGGGCGTGCGATGGATTAATAGCTCTCCAAGATCTACTAGCCCACCCCCAATTAGCCTCTCGGATGTGCATGGTTAGTTCACCGCAATATGATGGCGAGAAGCGGGTGTACTCCACGCCGGAGACCGGGAAGTGGTGGGAAAAGTTGCAGGCGGAGGTTCGTAAGGTGGACCCGGAGGGCGTGGTGGCTGCTTTGATACTTGCGAGTGACGAAACACACATGGACCATCGTGGCAAGGCCAAGGGCCATCCGGTGTACCTAACACTTGGAAACATCGACAAGGACGATCGATGGAAACCGTATGGACACGTCCTCCTTGCACTTCTCCCTGAGTACCCGCCAGAGTACTCGTCTCTTGACAGAACGGATGTCTTCCATTACGTCATGAACGATGTAATGGCGGGCCTCAAGAGAGCATCGCACACGGGGGTTAAGATGAAGAATGCAAAGGGCGAGACTATCCATGTGTGGCCGTCAGTGTACGCCCACATCACGGATTACCCGGAGTCTTGCAAGGTTACATGCACGAAATCTCTCGGCACCACATATCCGTGCTCCTTGTGCAAGGTACATAAGGACGAGCTCAAGCGGTTTGAGTTCCGGATTAAGCCTAGAACTCCCTCCGAGCAAAACCGTGTCGTGCAAGGGATGAAGCGTGGCACCATTGACCCCGAAACTAACGAGGCTCTCTCCACACACCCCGTTAAGGTATGGTTTCGTATATACCCGTCTATTCGTTTCGTGCTCAACGCGTTATTCCGCATCCATGCACCTACTAATTGTCCTTATACGTATGTGGTGCGTATTTGTGCCCATGCAGAGTTACCTATGGGGTTGGAGGTGGGAACACGAGCCGATGTTGAACCCGTGCCTTGCCGTGATGCCCGATATAATGCACCAAGCGGACTTGGGCATTCTTGAGCACATCATCGCTTCGATTCGCCACTATGTGCTAAAACAAAAAGAAGAAACCATCGTGGTTGAAGGAGTTTGATAAGCGGTTGAAGTACGTGAAGAGCATGCTACGGGGGGGGAACATGAGGCTACCATCGGGAGAGTACTTCGTGAAGGGTGCGAACTACCAAGCGTACGAGCACCGTTCCGTCATGCAAGTGCTACCCTTCTTGGTGCGAGGGATTTTGCCACAAAATCAATTGGACGCCATCATCGCCTACATCGAATGGTACCTCGAGTGCGCAAGGACGAGTGAGCACACAGAAGTGACACTCCTGGACCTGAAGAACAAGGCCAACGTGTATGCCACCTACCCCCTCTCTGGCCCCTCCTAACATTCTCTGCCCTATCACCCCGTCTCTGCCCCCACACCATGGTCTCTGCCCCGTCATCACGTCTCTGCCCCATCCCTACCTTCCATGCCCCATCGTCCCTTCTCTGGCCCTCGTGTATTTTTCTGCCCCACCATCGCATTCTCTGGCCATCCATCCCATTCCCCGCCCCATCACCCATTCTCTGCCCCCACACCATGGTCTCTGCCCCGTCATCACGTCTCTGCCCCATCCCTACCTTCCATGCCCCATCGTCCCTTCTCTGGCCCTCGTGTATTTTTCTGCCCCACCATCGCATTCTCTGGCCATCCATCCCATTCCCCGCCCCATCACCCATTCTCTGCACCCACACCATGGTCTCTGCCCCATCGTCATGTCTCTGCCCCACGACTACCTTCCATGCCCCATCGTCCCTTCTCTGTCCTCTCGTGTATTTTTCAGCCACACCATCGCATTCTCTGGCCATCCATCCCATTCCCCGCCCCATCACCCATTCTCTGCCCCCACACCATGGTCTCTGCCCCGTCATCACGTCTCTGCCCCATCCCTACCTTCCATGCCCCATCGTCCCTTCTCTGGCCCTCGTGTATTTTTCTGCCCCACCATCGCATTCTCTGGCCATCCATCCCATTCCCCGCCCCATCACCCATTCTCTGCCCCCCCCATCATTTTCTCTGCCCCATCACCCTAAACTCTGCTCCTCCGGTTTTTTTTTTTTTTTTTTTGTGCATGCAGGATGCTACATGGCCTGCGCGAGGCGTTTGCTCAATCTTCAGAATGGAACTTCATAAAAATGCACCTCATCAGTCACTACATGGACTGCATTGAGCGCGCCGGTCTACCAGAGCACTACTGCGCGCAGCTGTACGAACACCTCCACATAGAGTTCATCAAGAACCCGTACCGTGCATCGAACAAGCGGAATGTGAATGCCCAGGTCGTGCAGAGCGAGGAGATGAGGCTGCGAATCGCGTCCTTGGCCCCGTCGTTGGAGCGGAAAAAGAAGTACGACACGGCGATGGTCAGGGCCCAACGCACAGGGGAGCGCATTCTCTCCCGCAGGAGTTGGTGCCTGCACGTGCCCGATACACCCGAATCCCCTCCATATGTCTTTCCATTCGCACCACAGGCTTCAAGGGACGTACCCCTACAAAATGCCATTGGGCCAGATCTTGCACACTTAAGGGGCGCACTCAATGCCGCCCCTGGGTGTGCAGGACGCGGCAGCGAGTTCAAACACATCAATGTGAGTAACGTTGCACCCCAATAGCTTTGCTATTTCATTTCACCACGAGCCTTCGTTGTGCTATGACTGCTGCCTGTCCTTTTTTTTTTCCGTATAGTGTGGTAGCATCCGAATCCCTAACACCAAAACATCCCGTACCCCGAAATGACAGGTTCATTGGGAGCTTGCAATGCCTGCTGCTGTCGACGCACCATACAGTCGACTGCCTCACCGGGTGCGGGCACTTCCATCCCACCATGGGAGGCCGTGGTATTCGGATGTCGCAGTGGAGGGTACTGGAGCTCGGGGAAGAGAGGAGTGGTACGCCAAGGTGCTGCTACTGTTCCACGTCCGCTTGGATGGCAGGGATAAAGGATTCGCCTTTATCAAATATTACCAGGCACAGAACGCACTAGACAGAGCCACAAAATGTACTTCACTGAGATGGGCACCCGAGCGAGATCGGTATCGCGTCGTCCAAATGGAGAGCATTAAGCGAGCTGTGCATTTGATCCAACCGAACGCTAATGATGATAGGTGGCTACTCAATAGGTTTGCATGGTAATCAATGCCCTGCATGCATGGTATATGACCGAAAGTCTGTTTAGTTGGCAGATGTACTTGCATACGCTATGGTGCACAGCATAGACTGAAACCCCCTATGGCAAGTTCCTTGGTTGAGCCATATGGTTGTGTGAAGAAACGACAACATATTGCAAACTGGCCTATCCTTGCACAGTTACAGGCCTTCGGACACACTCACTAGCGTCACGTGCTGCATAGTTGTCCGAATGAGGTCAAACCAATTCCTATGTCAATGTAATGGATTATAATATCTGAACGTTTGAATATATGGTGTTTAAAAGAACAACCAGATGTTGAAACGGTGACATGTGGCGTACATGCTTAACCTTGCACATTTGCAGGCCATGGAATATGATGTAGTATGGAACTGTGTGAAGAAATAGAGGAAAAAAAGGCATCCAGACGTTGACGAGCTGACATGTTGCGCAGGCGCCTATCCATGTACAGATTCAGGCCAGCAAACGCACAAACGTGCGCCACGTGGTGCGTAGTTGTGCGAACGAGGTCAAACCAGTTCCTATGGCTAGAAAATAGGATGCAGTAGAGAACTGCGTGAAGAAATAGTGCTAAAAAAGGCATTCATACGTTGGCGAGCTGACATGTTGCGCAGACGCCTATCCTTGCACAGATTCAGGCCAGCAAACGCACAAACGTGCGCCACGTGCTGCTAGTTGTGCGAACGAGGTCAAACATGTTCCTATGGCTAGAAAATAGGATATAGTAGAGAACAGTGTGAAGAAATAGTGCTAAAAAGGGCATACATACGTTGGCGAGCTGACATGTTGCGCAGACGCCCATCCTTGCACAGATTCAGGCCAGCAAGCGCACAAACAAACGTCACGTGTTGCGTAGTTGTGCGAATTAACTCAAACCACTTCCTATGGCAAGGTAATTGATTGAAATACCTGAATTTATGAAGAAATGGTGCTAAAAAAGACAGCCAGATGATGAAACGGTTACATGTTGCGTATTGGCCTATCCAAGCGCAGTTTCAGGCCATCAATCGCACAAACAAGCGTCACGTGCTGCGTAGTTGTGCGAATTAATTCAAACCAGTTCCTATGGCAAGGTAATCGATTGAAATACCTTATTTTGTGAAGAAATGGTTCTAAAAAGGACAAGCAGACGATGAAACGGTGACATGTTGCGTACTGGCCTATATTTGCGCAGTTTCAGGCCATGAAACGCACAAACAAGCGTCACGTGCTGCGTAGTTGTGCAAATTAATTCAAACTGTTGAGATAGAGGCGAGGAATGATGCACTATGGAATGAAAGAAGTACAAGTACCAACCCTAATTGGGTTGTACCCCCTATTGGTTACCCCACTACAGCCTACATATATGCATCAGCAATATATACTCATCTGACACACCCCCATAGGCAAAGTGGGGGAGAGCAAGGGGTCACAAGACCAGTTAAGCAAAGCAAAGCAAAGCAAGCTCAGGGTGGATCTCAAGGATACCACACAAATTCCGAGCACAAGGTCAAGGCCACAAGGCCAGTTCACATGCAGCAGAGCATATATATATAACAGTGCTAAACAAGCAAGAGCAAGGATAAATATATGCAGCAGTACAAGCAAGGTCAAGAGGTAAGCAAGTGAGGCCCAGTGGGCACAAGGCCTAGCAGAGTGCAAAAGCGCTGATGGTCACGAGGCGGAAGTGCCTTGGTGAACACATCAGCAGTGTTGGCCTCAGTGGCCACGAAACGCAGAAGAAGCTGACCACGCTGCTGCAGCTCTCGAGCAAGGAAGTAGCGCAGAGCAATGTGCTTCGTCCTGTGCTCCAGTCTGTGCTCCTGACATAAGGCAATGGTTGCCTTGTTGTCGACGTACAGCACTGGAGGAGAACGAGGCCGCTCTCTAAGGTCAGTCAGCAGGTAGGTGAGCCAGCGAAGCTCCTGGGCAGCCATGGCCGTGGCGTAGATCTCAGCCTCACAGCTGGAGCTGAGAACAGAAGAAGAGCGAGTAGAGCGCCAAGAGACAGAGCCAGAGCCAAGACTGAAGGTGTAACCCTGAGACGACCGCTGAGTAGCCTGGTCGTCAGCCCAAGAAGCGTCTGAGTGCCCAGTGAGCACACGCCGCTCTCGCCCTGACTGCCACTGAGAGGAGTAGGGACCGGCCATCGCCTCTGCGTAAGAGCGTGGGGTCGGGATGTCTAGAGCATCCGGGTCTCCCTCAGGGGCAACAAGCATGGACACGAGATGGGGCAAAGCGGCGGCAAAGCACTGGAACTCCTCCTGCCTGTCCTCAAGGACGTCCGTGCCAAGAGCACAGTCACCCCCGACGGACGGAGGACAGGCAGACGCAGACGCAGCAGACGCAGACTCAGCAGACTCAGGAACAAGACTGGCAGCGTAGTCTAGACGACACGCAGCAGCAAAGTCGACCAGCTCAGCAACTAGGGCAGACGCAGCAGTGGACTCAAAGGAAGGGTCAGTGACAACAGTAGCAAGAAGACGCGTGACAGTAGGACTGGCAACACGACGACAGTCCGACTCCGGGTCGGCAAGTGTAGGAAGAGAAGACTGAGGAGGAGAAGGCAAAGGGGCACGCAGAGGAGCAGTGGACGGACGCAGAGACATACCGTGTGTGCCAGGGACAGGAGGAGGACGCTGACGCGAACCGCGACCACTAGGGCGAGCAACTCGGAATGGCGACGCAGGGCGGGACGCAGGCTCACGACGCTCAGCAAGACCTCCAGTAGGACCAGTGTAGGGAGAAGGAGAACGGAGGGGAGAGGCGGGCTGTAACTGTGACTGCGACGGGACAGGCCGTGGACACTCTACGGGAGGAGAAGGACCAGTGGAAGGCGGGAGACCAAGAACCTGCTGGAGGAGCGGAACGAAGTACGGCTGAGGCCGCGCAGCACCGCCAGAGACAGCCGGGACAGCACCAACACCTCCAGAGGCAGCACCAGTACCAGTAGCAGCTCCAACGCCAGCACCTCCAGCAGCGCCAGAAGTACCCTCAGTAGGACCGACAGTCGTAGACTCAGCGCCAGCACCCGCAACAGCTCCAGCTCCAGAGGCACCCCCGGGCCCGGCAGCTCCAGTACTCTCAGTACGAGCACCTCCGGGACCCGTGGTACCAGCTCCCTCGGCAGCAACAGAACCTCCAGCACCCGCAGCACCCCCAGCTCCAGCAGCTCGCCTCCAGCGCCGGGCAAACCACTCACGCAGCTCCAGAGGGGAGAGCGGCTCGCGGCACAAAGAACGGTCCGGAGAACCACCAGGAACAGAAGCAGCAGGCGCAGTACTCCCAGGCGAAGCACCCCCAAGCTCAGCACCCCTAGGCTCAGCACCCCCAGGCTCAGCACCCCCAGGCTCAGCACCCCCAGGCTCAGCACCCCCACGCTCAGCACTCCCAGTCTCAGCACCCCCAGGCTCAGCACCCCGAGGCTCCGCACCCGCAGCAGCACCAGAGTCACCAGTGACCTCGACAGGCTCGACCGCGTCTACCTGAGACACACCTGAAGGGGCAGGACCCTGAGGGGGGAGGGGGTCTACCGGGGGGGGACCTGGGACCAGGAAGAGGGGCGACGGGGGGAGGGACGGAGTGCGGTAGGGGAAGAGCCGGTAGAAGGGAACCGACTCGTCGAACGTGACGTCCTGGGAGGACAGAACACGACGAGAGAAGGGGGGGTAAAACTGCCACCCAGGTGCGTCAGGGGGGAAACTTAGGAAGACGCAAGGAGCAGCACGACGGGACGGCTTGTCCGCAGACAAGTCGCGGACAAACGCCCGAGATCCCCAGACACGGAACGCCGACGCATCGCCAACCTTCCCCGTCCACAGCAAAGCTGGGGAGGTCTCCTATCGGGAGACCGTGGGCTGAAGGTTGATCTGATGCGCGGCGTACCGAACCGCAAACGGCCACAGA